TAATTATAAATATGGAGATTATTTGAAACATTAAGATTTGATGTATGATCTAGTAGACAGCTCCCAAGAAATATATGTGTCAATATTGTAAAATGAATTAAAATTGCAAACTTTTTGTCTTGCCATAGATGCATTCTGAAATTCATAGCATCTTTCTGTTTCACCTGAAATTAGATGAAATATGAGCTGGGATGAAAGATCTCAAAAATCCTCAATTTTGGGCTCTTCTAGATCACCAAATCAAGCTCATTATATCATAGCATCTCAGGGCTGAGAAGATTTGAGATGTCATGGTTTATCATGATGACATTGATGCAATAATTATAAAAATACAGATTTTAGATGCTTTGTGTTAATGACATGAAAGTAGTTATTGTGGTCTATAAAATTTGGAAAATAAGAGCCAGCTACCTGTGAAATCTGAAAAATTTAATCCAAGAACCGAGGATCACCTCTCATCCAAAGAGTGTAGATGAAACTCCCTTTTAAGGGAGCAAATTCACAAACTATAGCAAAGGGTATATCAACCACTGCCCACACACAACATCAGAACATTCAGAACAGCAGGTCCATTTCAACTTTTGGTCACAAAGTGAAACCACATCCACCACAAAAAGGGAAACTCAAACTGTCAAACTAGAATGTTTACTGATAAATTGTTCAAATTAGATCGAGTTTTGTCCAAAGTTTATTTTTGACATTTTTTCAGCTGGTTGAATATAAAACCAAAGTTGCTCAGTTTGTAATTAAAGCCTTGGTTTCTAATTATAGTCATCAAGCAGGGAGTACTTGGGGTTAATTGTTTTTTAAATATAATGTACCAATTTAGTGTTTTGTTCACCAAAAATATTTGTTTCATTGCCCTGTTTTTAATTTTTGAGGAAAGATTGATCAGTTTTTTCAGGCTGTTCAATTCCCAAAGCTGTAAATGCAGTACTAGAATATTTCTATTTAGTGTTTTGTTTTTCATGATCAATTTCTTCCCATTTTACCAGAGTTAAAAAGTAGATTACAGCTACCTATATACTCCATTGTCTCCTAAAGGAAAAACACTGTGAATAAATGAGAAACAAACTTTTATGTATTTTTAAAACTATATCAACCCCGTTGATTGAAACACCTTGTAGAACACACCAAAGACCAATAGCCTGATAACCTCATGTTAAATGACCCTCCGTAAGCAGAACACCTTCCTAGTAGAAGACTTTTTGACATGCATACCAAAAGTGTTCAACTTACACAGGTTCTACACAGATTTACTGTACCATTAGAAAATCTAAAGGTTCCAGTAATAGTGAAAAATTTCACTATATAGTGCTGCCATCTTTACTCAAAACAATAATCAAACTAACAGAACATGAAAAGATATTATTATATGATTAAAGATTTCATAAAATAAGACCATATAACAGGTTTCTTTATCAATGCCAAAACTGAACAAAAACATCGAAATTAAAAAAACATATAATTACGGAGGAGAACTTTTAGAGTGACACTGATTCCCCTATTGAATTGATACAGTAGATTTTACTCCCAGGGAGGTGTGAAAATGACAACTGAAATTGATATATGCATTTGACTCGCAGTCATTTTCCTTCAAGTTTTTTTGTAATAAAAACAACTATTTTGTAATGACTTTTAAAGTTGGTGCAATAGAGTGCCTGATATTTAAGAAACTTTGACATTTATCAATGGCATTATAACAGTATAGGGGGTCACGCCCTGAGTCATCAAATTACAGAAATTGTGTATTTCTTTAAAGTTAATGAAAATATAAAACTGGTGAATAGGATATGAGATCACTGGGAGGTATATTCTTATATGAGGGTGTGTCAGAGAACAGGTCGGAAGAAAAGGATCACAAAAAAGGATGACACTGGTAGAAAAAGATGATACAAGTAGACAAAAAGATGACACCAAAAAGATGACAGTAGATTGCACTTGTTCAGTGTCATATTTTTATACTTGTATCATTATTTTTCACAAAACATCATTCTTTTACTGTTAGTTCTGGCTTGTTAGTCAATTTCTGCCCAACAAAAGTGGACTTTGCCAATGTCATACCTAGGGCTATGTCGTAACTTGGTTCACATGGTACATGTACCTACAGTTTCAACCTGTATAGTATACCACATTCGAAGTCTAAAAAGAAATATTTCAAACACTGTCTCTTGAAGAAATCTCTAGTTAATTAGAATTGGAAAAAACTTCACAACTGATCCTAAATTCAATTTGACCATCAGTAAAACAGAAATGTAAACATCTACCCTACAAACTGGTCTATGTATTTATTTCCTTGGTAGAAAATCTCATTATTGCCCACTTTATACTATTTTCTCTTAAAGTTGAATGAACTGCCTGATTTTCTTGTATTTCTATACAATTTAGAATATCCACTACATGCCTGTTTACTTTATTCCTTGCTGATTCCACTCTTTCCCACTCTATTTTGCATTTTAAAACTTGACCATATAATTTTCTTAGGGTGTATATTACAATATTGAGAGGCCTTTATTTATGCCAATACACATCACAAGTTCTTCTCAATCCATTTGTACAAAATAAGAATAGATGAATGAACCTCAGTTTGTATTCAAAACAATCCAGATTCTATTGAGGTTGATTCACCTGTATGAATCTAGTGAAGAACTCCCTTGACGTTTTTTTCTTCAAATTTGAGCTTCAAGAAACCACGAAACCATTACCAAATTATAGTTTCTGTGGCTGATTATGACAAACTATGAACTATAATTATAGAGAGATGAAAATATCAATTGTGAAACCCTATATTTCAAGGTTCATGTGTATGAAACTAAATATGTATTAAAAATAAGTGAAAGAATTTTGGGTGACTTTTTTCAAAGGGTTCGTAGTTGTGGTTAGTTTTGTGGTTAAAGGTGTTACTTTTGAAGCTACTTCCTTACTGCTCTCTTCCTTACTCCCTTATTCACCTTCTATCCCCCATTCCCCTTCTTCCCCATCCCCTTTTTCTCCTTATCCCTCTTCCTATTCCCTTTCTTTCCCATCTCAATATTCTTCTTCCCCACCCCCTTCTTCCCCATCCCCTTCTTCTCCCTCTTCCCCATCCCCACTCTCCTTCTCTCCCTCCCCTTATTCCCCCTTTCCACATTCCCATGTTCTCCCTATTTCCCCTCCCTTATTCTCCTTCTTCCCATCCCCCTATTTACTCTGTCCTCACCCTCTCAGCCCTCAATACATTTTTCTAGATAAATCTAGATCAATTTCATACAAATGTCTCAATTTTCCTTTTTTAAATGCTGTCACTGGGAAAGATGCATTATCATTTCTAAGAATCTCAGCAAAATGAGATTATATGAAATTATATGAGATTCCAAGTCACCAGGTGATACTTTAAATCATATCAACATCTCCATGCTTTTTAATCTCCATAAAAAACAACCATCAACTAAATCACAAATTCCTATAAAAACATCACTTTTATGTGGTTCTACCAGCTTGTAGTTCCCACAACATTTCCCAGGATCAACACTTGGAAATAAATCTAAATAAATATAAATCTCCAGCCAAACATAAACTTGTGGCTTGCACCCTGGTCAACACACAAAGATGAGAGGGTATTCTATTGTAATTCCACAACACCATGTTGGGTCTCGGGGGAGGGGGGATACAAATATTATAATGAAGCAATAAAGGAGTCTACTAATTCTGTCCATATTATCACCATCAATCTCCTAGGTTACTATAGTGGTGTCAATTAACCGCTTGAGCATTAACCGGTTAACCGGGGGTTTTTACCGGTTAAAGTCGGTTAACCGGCGGGAAATTTGAACTTATAATTTTAAATGAAATCTTCATCTTCGATCTTGAAAGTTGAAAAGATAATATATCGGCGTTTATTTTTTACGTTCGTCAAGCTTTACGCTATTCTATGTAAGTAAGCGCGGGAAAGCAATGTGGCAGGGATTAAAGTTGCTGATTGGATGTTTGTAAGGAATTATCGGACCTATCACATGTATGAGTAGCTCACATGAAACTGACGCTTGAAAAACAAACAGATTAAAATGCAAAGTAAGCGCGGGAAAGCAATGTGACAGGGATTAAAGTTGCTGATTGGATGTTTGTAAGGAGTTATAGGACTTATGACATGTATGAGTAGCTTACGTGAAACTGACACCATAAAACCAAACGGATTAGCATGCAAAATAAGCGCGGAAAATAACAGAATTATACACGGTCAACTAACCGCCCATAAAAACTCAGACCGGTCAAGGCATTATCGGCGGTTAACCGGTTAACCGGTTAATACTTGACACCTCTAGGTTACTATGACTTCTTACAAATAGGCCTCTCTCATGTAAATGCCTATTTGACAAAAAGGGAATTTTCTAAAAAGTGACCCCCCCTGGTAAATCCTGGCTACGGGCCCTGCAGCCCATATGAAATATACAGGGAGGGAGGGGGGAACCAGATACATAAAGAAAGATTAGGAAGGGATCTGTACACTACCTGCAAATTCTCAATCAGATTAGAAGACTCCCAGAGTTGTAAATAATAAGATACCAGAAGTAAACAGTAAACACCCCAGAATGTGTGAAAAAATACTGACCAGTACTGATAAACTCTGATAAGAGTCTTAGATGTCTGATTTAAAGGCACTTGTCTTGCCTAGGGTGTCTTTAAAGGCCATTTCCTTTGATAAGCCCCTTGCCTCAGATGTGTGGTTCCGAAGCCCTTGTCTTAAATATTATGCTTAAAGGCCCTAGCCTAGTATGGACTAGTGTTTTAAATATATAGAAGCCACTTCCTTAATCTCTAACTTAAGTTGCTTTTTAGTTAGATTTTCTGCTTAAAGACACTTGCGTAGTATAAATATAGCTTTGACATGAAGATCCTTGTCTCAAATATTTTTTGATCTCTGGTCTTAGATGTCTTTCTTATTGCATAATAAGTGGACAAAACTAGCTGCAATGACAAAAGAATATACCATCATGACATTTGACTTAAAAATCTAAACTTACCTGGAGGGATGATGGTGATATGCAGTTTGTATCTTCATTCCAGTTGACCTTGACATTTGAACTATGTTGACCTTGACCCCCAGATGACCTTGGAGGGCAAAGTTGGTGACTAGGAATTTGGCGGCCATATTGGGCGAATTGCACACTGATCGTTGTCCCCTCGGGACACCTTATATGGAGATGATCACCTTCACACGCACGTTCTTGGAATGTGAATAAAGTACTAGAGAGAAGTCCTGAAATCACAAAAATACTAAATTTTAGTAATGGCTGACTTCCTGTATTTATTTGTTCTATTCAGAGATTAATTACCCTTTGTATTCATTCTACTTTGCTTCTTAAAAGAGAGCTTCGTCTCACTCTTTCAATTTACAATACATCTTTGAACTTACTAAACCATTCAGAGTTCATTGGCGAAATAATATATTTCTCTATGGTTATTTCATCTGATGTCATCATATAGTTAATGAGCACACATTTAGCATGTGTTTTTCAAGGTCGCTGATTGGTTGAGAAATAATCAGCGTGGTAGGTTTGAAATGATTTATGACCCAGGCTCGTGGTCGTGGGGGCAGGACTTCTAAATTGTAATATAGTCAGTATACTAGGCAGAGGGTTAGTTTATAACTAGACTCTGCACGCATGGTAGAGCCTAATATACCAGGCACTGATACTCAGGGTAGTGATTTATCATACCCCATTCAATAATTATTTTTCTAAGAAGTAGAGGTAAAGAAAGTCTTCTTCAAATAAAAAAACAAACTGTTTTTGATATAGTTTTACAGATGGTGTTTTGACACATAACATTGTGAACATGAGACTTTAAAAAACAAATTAAAAACAGGAAGTTCTTTTTGTAGATTTTGATTTCTTCAGTATACTGTATAAAAAAAAGTGTCACATTTAAAATTAATCTGAAATTAAATGTCAACATAAATTGGTGATTTTTCTAAGATGAGATTTGGGGTGACAGTTTTCTTAAAGAAAAGTTATGCCCAAATATTTTTTATGCACTTTTGACTTGAGCATTCTTGTCTTGACTCATTTAAATGAAGATTAAATATGAATTTTGTATCGTATCATGAGATCTTGGGGCTTATTTTTGATTGTTAAATTACAAAAATGTAGCCTGGTAAAAGTGTTAGTTTGACCTTTTTACATATTTTATAATAATATTTCATTTAGTTTAAGATTCATGAAACTTTTGTATTTCATGAGAAACATGGGGAATGAGAGTGTTTTAACAAACAAACAAACATATTAAAATAACAGTATGTAAGTTTTCACACAATCTGTTTTCAAGACAGAATTATGAATTGACATGAACTGAAAGATATTTCCTTAAGTGATCTATAAAATATTGAGGGGTTCCGATAACAAAAATTATTTTGAAATTTCGGCTCAAGGATGAAATTTAAAAACAAGTAACTTTAAAGTAACAAATATGCTGTAGGTCTTAAAGCTAAAGGTCTTATAGCAATAGAAAACAGGTGAATTTTTCAATGAATAACAAAAGTTCTACAATTTCATTTATGGGTGAATAAAAAGATCAAAGAGCTCATACCAAAATAAATCTAAACTCAGATTTAAGTAACTCTTTGAAGAAATGGCAAACTGCCCTTACAAAATTCAATAAATAAATAAATAAACAAACAATAAATATTTAATAAATTAATTGAATTGCCTCCAATTTTTCAAAAGTATTTATTTCTAAATAACTAAGTAAACACATGAAATATAAATTCAATCCATGTTAATGAAATTATTATAAACTAGTATTTATTTCCACAGTTAATACAGTAGGACCACCATGTATTGTATAGAATCTGGATTGTTTAGAATTCATTGTTGAGAAATAAAACTGTCATTAAGTGGCACTTTTGCTTTGTAATGTGGAGACATATATGCCACTTTAAATTACTTCAGACTTTTTACTTCCGTATTTTAGTTAAGAAGAGGGTTATTTGTAAGAGATTTTATCCGAGCCTAAATGGTCAATTTCTATTAAGTACCACAATAGATATGATATCATCTTGAAATTTTTCAATGTGTTGGGTTTTCTCAAAACTTGAGTGCCACTTTAAAATTATCATTTGTAATTTTTTATGAAATAGTGAAACAGTGGTCAAAGGTGGTCTATACTTACAACATAAAAGTTATACATAAAATTTGAATATTCACTGGACTTATATTGTTCAGGAATCTCTTTAAACATTTTCAAAATACATTAACATCTTCAGTTTATTTACATTTGTAAAGCCATAGTGGTCATATTTACTAAGAGCTTTGTTTTTTATTCTATTTATAGACCTACAGCATGGTTGTTTCTATAGTAACTGTTTTTAATTTCACCCTTGAGTCATAATTTAAAAAAGTTAAAAAAAATACTTCCTCACCTTGTTATATTGATTGTCTAATTAAAACAGTATGAAATATCAAAATACTTCTTTAATTCATCAATTCTATACCCTTTACAAAAGACAAACTTCACATAAACTCTTAAAATATTAGAATACTTCTTTAATTCATCAATTTCATACCCTTTACAAAAGACGAACATCACATAAACTCTTAAAATTAGAGATAATTTGTTGATCAAGCCACAACAGAATATATAATCATTAATATAAAAGCATGATATTAATTACAAGAAGCTGCCATTTGGACCAAGACAGTTCCATTTAAGATTATTAAGATTTCTGTGAAACAACACAAGGCATAAACATGCAAAATGTCACCAAATGCCATTTCTTACAGTTGCCCAAACCAGATGCCAGATACCGGATGCCAACCACCATCACTAAAAATGGAGATCATAACAAAATGTCACCATAAAAATCATCTGTATCAGCTATGTTTTTTTATTAATCATTTTTATTTCAAGTTCATATATTATAACATTTACAATGAAAATTCAACAATTTCAATCAATTTAACATTTGTATTAGTCAGAACGAAAAGCAAATCCAGTGTACCAAATATCTCATTTCCTTGTTTTGCCCAATGTTTTCATTTGTTTTGAATTATCACCTTGGAGATACAAATTGAAAACACACCTTACTACAGACAAACTCTCAGATCTCCTTATGTAAATATCTAAGAAAGGTCATATTTGTAAAACTTGAAATAAAGTGAAATCCAAGGAATGAGCAAGGAATTATGTTGATATATAAAAAATGCTCCAAATTGTAACATAAATGCAAAATTTTCAGAAATTCTAATCAGTTTTAACGAGAAAAATACATGTTTTAAACATGAAAAGTTTGGTATTGTAAGTACAGGTCAATTAGTGATTAAAATTAATTAAACAATCTGACCTCCATCAAAAGATGTTAATTAATAAAAGTTGAAGATTAGTTATACCAAAGTAGACTTTTTCATTAGACTAAAGTTGACAACCGCTCACATATCACACTTTGATAACATTGGGTAAGACTACAATATAAGCCAAAGTGGTTTAAACTTTATATGGGGCCTTAAAGGATAGCTCCACTGTGTTTTTCCCTGAGATCAGACACTATAATATGCTCTGACTAATGCCTGGGTCACATTTCCTCAGATTCATTGACCGGCACCCAGCCGATTGAGTATCCTGTTCACAATTGTATTCAATTTCAATCGGATTTATCGGAGCAAATGGGACCCAAGCATTAGGATCGATTTATAGTATACAGTTTGGATTTAAACCAATCAGAATTGTAGTGCCACATAAATATATGTACATATAATGATCGGGATCAATATCAGAGGGATGGTGAATTCTGATTGGCTTAGCATCAGGTTTCGAGATAATTTGAAATTAAAAGTATGGGCAGAGATAAAGCTGGAATTTAAATAAATGATTCTGATTGGTTAAGCTAGATCTAAGGATTATCTTTTGTGGACTAAAATGAAAATATTGAAAAGGGTTAAATATTCCCAAGTCAAGAGTATATTTTCTGAATCAAAATACTCTATAACCTCCAGTTCACCTTTAGAAATAACTAAAGCAATTTTTCATATTATTAGACCCCATCATGCTTTAAATGTCAATTCTAATACACTTTTACAACTTTGCCTTGTCAAAAATCATAACTTTTAAACTGTGACAGATATTGGTAATTTTAATAAAAGTTGGCAAAATATTGTGCATGCAGGTATTTTGTTGACTTTGTCAGAATTTTAATCAAGAATGATATTTTGAAAGGAAGGGTGTGATTTGCTATCTTTAACATGATCTCTGTATTTCAAAGGCAATCTGTGAGGACAATCAGTCACTGAGTATTTTACTTTTGATATACATGCACCTCAGTTCATATTTAAGCAACTTACATGGTCAAAAGTTTCTACCAACCAGGAAATACAAAATGAGATTTTTACTTGCTGCAAATGTTTTTGGCATACTTCATCATCCTTCAAGATTGGGCTTCACTGCTATGGCAGCTATTAAAAGCATAGTCTTGATTCAAGACCTTGGATCCCCACCCCCTATCTATTTTAACAACAGGGCATGTGGTAAAGTAGATAAGGGCGGGGGGGGTCCAGGGTCTTGAAGCAAGACTATGGAAGGCATTGAAACTCTTGAACCACATTCTGATTTATCAGAGTCCCTCTTTACCTAACGCTTTTGAGAGAACTATTCCAAAAGGATAGTGAAGGATGTGGATCCCACAATGCTTGAACCAGGATGTACTTGAATAAGTATAATAAGTTTACATCTGTTAGTATAAAGTAATATTGTAAGTGTATGCCACAGCTGCTCAAGTGACACATGCGAGGTGTCAAAAATATATTTTTAGACCCAACATAAGAGGTTTCAAAACAAATGAAAAACAACAGGTATAAAATGCTTGGAAATTATCAGGAAACAGTTACAAATGGTGATTTTTGTAAAGATCACCTGCTAGTGAAACCCCTGAAATAATAGTAAAACATAAAGTGACACATTCCATTTTGAATTTGATTTATCCCTTTCTAACAATATAGAGCTTTATCTGTTTCTGAGCCACTGGGTAATCTTGAGTACCTCAAACAAACCTCAAACAAACCATTTTTGCTAAAGAGAGTTTCAAAAAATCTAAGGGGGTTTCACAATAGACAACTTTGGCTCAAAATCACTGAAGAAGTGCTCAGAACGTTAAATGATTTTGAAAGAATTTTTTACCAAGGGGCTCCATATATATACAAAGGTATCAGTTCCATACCCATTTCAATAGGTTGCTTTTGCTTCTTTAAAAGAGAGGTTCATATACCATTA